CCCGGGGGGCATTCAGCCCGTGCCCTACCCAGCATGATGAACTGATCCAGCCGACATCCTAACCTTTTGACTGGCCGCTGTTGATCCAGAGATCCGGTTCCGATCCCCGGTGCCCCCCTGTCGTGGGCCAATTGGCTCAAACCCGCTGTCGACCCGTACTCGGGCCCCCTGCCTTGCCAAAACTGGCTGGGGGCCCCAAAAGACTGATCTTTTAAAGGCCCCCGTCATCCTGGTTTTAATGGCTGTCAGCCAACGATAAAAGTTGATTTTTCCCCCGTTCCCTGATGGGGGGTGGAAGCAAATACCTATGCCCGGGGACCCAGTGCCCGCTGATAAGGGGGGACCGATGGCTGTAGGAAAAATCCGGGTATTGGGGTTTAGTCGGGTTTTTTGATGGAATGTTTCCAATGACCGGGGGTTCGGAAAATGATGATTTTGGGAAAATTCCGCTTCCAGCGGGATTTCAATGTTGCCCCCCCCCTTAGGATTTGGAGCCCCCTTTTAGATAGTGGGTTTTTGAAAGTATGCCCTGGGGGACCGATGCCCGCTGTCCGTCAAAACATTCCAAAGCTGCCCAGTGCCCCGGTCATCCAGTTGACTCGGGGCCCCCGCCTTGCCAGGACCGGGGCCCGCTGTCGAGCCAAATGACTGAGCCTGGTGACCCAGCCCCTGTCCAGCCAGACGATCCAATTCCCGACCCCCTGCCGGGAAAGCTGCCTTTGACCGGGCCCCTGTCCCGTTTCCTGGTGACTTCGGTCCCGCCCGGGCTGCCCGGGGGCCCGGAGACCCCGGGCCCGCTGCCTGGGGGTTAGGCCCCCGCCGCTCCCTGGGGTCCGGGGCCCGCCGCCCGCCGGGCCCCAGACCTGTCGCTCCGCCTGGGGGCCCGGACCTGTCGCCCCCTGGGGGGCCCCCGGCGCCCCCCCGCTCCGCCTGGGGCCCGAGACCTGTTTGCTCCACCTGGGGGTCCGCGCCCGCCGCTCCGCCTGAGGGCCCGAGACCTTGGGGGGCCCGGCGCCCGCCGCTCCGCCTGGGGGGCCCCGGATGCCTGGTGCCCCGCCAGGGGGCCGGTGCCTGCTGCTCTGCCCGGGGGCCCTGGTGCCTGCTTGCTCCGCCCGGGGGCCCGCTGCCGCTGCTCCCGCCTGGGGGCCCAGGTGCCCTGCTGCCCCACCTGGGAGCCACCGGTGCCTGCGGCTGTGCTCGCCTGGTGGCCCGGTGCCTGCTGCTTCTCCTGGTAATCCGGATGTGCCTCTTGCCCGGAGTCCGGCCCGATGTGCCTCTGCCCGGAGCCCTGCCTCGATGTGCCTCTGCCCCGGAGTCCAGGGCCCGATGTGCCTCTGCTCGGAGTCCTGCCTGATGTGCCTCTGCCCGGTGTGCCTCTGCCCGGAGTCCAGCCCGGTGTGCCTCTGCCCCGGGTGTGCCTCTGCCCGGTGTGTCCTCTGCCCGGGAGTCCAGCCCGGTGTGCCTCTACTGCCCGGTGTGCCTCTGCCGGTGTGCCTCTGCCGGAGTCCAGCCCGGTGTGCCTCTGCCCCGGTGTGCCTCTGCCCGATGTGCCTCTGCCCGGAGTCCAGCCCGATTGTGCCTCTGCCCGGAGTCCTGCCCGATGTGCCTCTGCCCGTATTTGTGCCGCTGCCCGGAGTCCTGCCCTGTGTGCCAGTCTTTGATATCCCGCCAGTTACCAGACCCGGGCATGGTGGTGGAACATTTTGCCCCAGCTAGGACTGTTTGGGGAGCATCCTGAGGCCGCTCCTTGAGGGGGGGGGTAACTGTCAGGGAATGGACTGGCCAGCAATAGTGGGACTCAGCAGATGCCTTATGAGCTGCGTTTAGTACCAGGGCTGGCCAGCGGGTGCTCCAGCAATCAGAGACTCAACCTTGCAGCCAGTCAAACACCTGGAACTAAATTATACTGGTGTATTTAAGGGACATTCAGTCCTGCAGACTCTGCCTTGGTGTTGTGTTTCTCTTGGGCCCTGTATCCTGTTTCCTGCTCTCTGTTCCTATCTGATTCTCTGCTGACCCTGCTCTGATCCCCGGCTTGTCTGACCATTCTCCTCTGCCTGACCCTCTGTACCACGCTGCCCGCTACTGCTGAACCTGGCCTGTGACCCCGACCATTCTCCGCTTGCTCCCACTGTACCTACCTGCCCGACTGATATTGACCCGGCCTGCCTGACGGACGCTTGCATTTGTATGTACTGTTATCTGTGGGTGGTTGGTTGGTTTGTTTGCACTGTGTTATGTTTTTAGTATTGCACTGCGTTTATGTTTGTATGGTTAGTGTTAATAAATTACATTGTTTATAACATATCTGAAGTCTGCGTTTCCCTGCGTCAGTCACACACCTCTGGTCATACCCGGGAGCCCTGACACCAACATCTTATGGAAGGCAACTGTCCAACTCTCAGTTTTATTATCTTTGAAAATCTAAAGTGTGAACTCTGCACTGCAAAAGATAATGCTTCTTTATGGTTTTTAAACATTTGTCTAATGGGATGTCTGGGGATGCAACTGTCCTATTATAAAACTGATAGTAATGGTGAACTCACCACTGTGGGTGGAGAGTAAAAACTACATTTCATACAGGGTAATTTTTTGGGACATAGAAAGTTAACTGAAAAGAAAGCACGACTAACTGGTCCAGAACCTGTAACTGGTACAGGCCTACTAAAGTAATCAATAAGTTTTGTAGCATGTACCCTAAGCTCATTTTGTCATGTCCCCCGCCATCGGAGCCCCCAGATTTATTTTCCAAAATAAAATTGAATTTGGTTCTTAGCAACCCAGGTGCCAAGTGCTAGATTGCGAGAGATAAGGGAGTGTCAGGGTGCCTGGAAGTACAAGTTTTTTCCAGGTTCTACAGCTCCATACTGGACATCAGTGGGGCATGGTCAAAGTAAGGTTGGTTAGTGCCTGCTGCAAAATGTGTAAGTAACTGTAGAAAACAAGTTGAGTATAAGTTTGCTTTAAAGAAAAATCTGTCTTGAAATAGAAATAAAGACTGCCATTGATGACCTTTTCTTGTTACAATGTAAGTTAACTGTTTGCCATACTGACCCTCCTAATCAAGACTTTGAGTCACTGACCAGGGTGAAGTATGAGAATAAAAACGTCTGATGTTTCTGATTTACATACATGTTCTAGTGGCTTAAAATGTATTGAAGCCAAAGGGCCAACAGAAGGGAAACTTACCAGCAAGAGTTCATTAGGAAAGTACACTCTTGCTCTGGCAGTGTTGCTCGCTTGCTTGCCAGACCAGTGGAATGATCTTTACCACTACTATCTTGCTTGCAAGCTAGATTATGCTGCATTTTAGGCTCTGATATGAGTGACATGGTCCTAACAGACACTCAAGATGGCTTTTTCATAGGTCATCAAAGATGGCCCACTGTTTCTCTCACAATATGTTTTCTTCAAAGGTTTTGTAAGCATTGCTACCTGCACCTTGCGTTTTTCACTCACCTGCAGAAGATGTGCTTTGGTCATGTAGTTTCATGGTGTCAGTTTTTGCCCTGTATGCACAACCTATAGTAGAGTAAATTTTTACATTCCTGTTTAACCACTTCATGTCTGGACAGTTTCACCCCCTTCCTATCCAGGCCTATTTTCAGCTCTCAGCGCCGTCGCACTTTGAATGACAATTGCGCGGTCATGCAACACTGTACCCATATGAATTTTTTTGCATTTTTTTGAGACAGATAAAAATTTATTTTGGTGGTATTTATTCACTACTGGGATTTTTTATTTTTTTTGCTATATAAATGAAAATTCCAAAATGTTGATAAAAAAAGTGTTTTTCTTATACAATTTTGCAAATAAACAATTTTTCTTCATAATCTTGGCCAAAATGTAATCATCTATCTTTTTAGTATAAAAAAAATAACCCAAATTACTTTATAACCAAAAATTATAATTTTTCAAAAATTGTTTTACATTTTTATTTTATTTTTTTTTTTATTATTATTTATGGTTTTTTTTTCTTTTAACATACTATGACCCTAGCAGTACAGTGTCACCATAGTGACCCTGTACTACTTGTGGGGGGTGACGAAGATTTTTTTTTTCTTTTTTTTACACTGATTACTTTTACACCCATAAAGGCTGTAAAAGCAATCATTTCTCTTTCTCTATGGCTGCATTCTTGCAGCCATTGAGAAATACTGTGTGAGCTGTGATTGGTCACAGCTTGTCACATGATACAAGGCTGTTGTGAATAGCCTTGTACCATGTGATCTCTGTGATCATTCACAGATTTCACATGTAGTAAGCAATGATGCCAAGAAGTGACATCTTGTTTTACTAGTATTCACGTGATCACTGATTGGCCAATCAGTGATCACATGATCCGGACCTCACACAGAGGTCCCGTTACAGCGATCGGTGTTTTGCTGTGTCCTCTGGGACACAGCGGGCACCGGATCGCGGCATGGTTTGCCGTGAGCTCCCAGGGGAGTGCGCACAGGCAGTGAATGCAGAGTCCGTTTATAAACAGCCACCCGCTCCGGCCGTCCGTCTGTTTATGTACATGGGCCCGGACGGGAAGTGGTTAAAAAGATTTTAACAACTTTTATTAATCACTGTATAAAAAATAATTGATCCAATACTGTAGAAAACAATGATAAGAGCTTGACTGTGTTACTGCAGTTTGGAGGACGATATTTTCCCTACATGTTTCGCCCGACAAGGGCGAATGCCTAGTTAAAACAGCCAAAAACATTTGAAAGTGTACAATCCCTTTATACTGGAGTTTGAGGTGAATATCATTTTGGTACAGCGTTCCCCACACTCTGCTTTGCTCACCTCTTCAAGGACTATACCTTTCACATCGCCCAAAAACTTAATACAATGGCTGTCACAGATATATCAATATATAAATTGGATGGCCAGACCCATATACAGACAAAGTACCAGTTTCCTCCCTATGCCACAAGTCATTTACCTTATAATATCAACCACCTTTGGTGTTCTGTGTAACAAGCAGCTCTCCCTCGTTTCCAACAAATTCAGATTTCTGCCATCTGTGCTCCAGGGAAAGCTGGCAGGATCATCCCTCCTCACAGCCGAATACATTTTACAGATGTTTCTCTGAAAGTGCAACCCGGCATTACAAGCTGAAACACTTGGCTACAGCGATGCTACTTACATGACCCAACAGCGGGAGGTGGAACATGTGTCTGTGTGGATAGAGGGCTAAGAATAAAAGAGATGCTTGTGTGGATACAAAATAGTGTTTGTTGTGCTGGATTGTTGCATGAGCTACCTTTGTTTTTATGGAACTCACTTGAGACAACAAAACAGTATGGTGATATCAGAAAAATCACTCTTACGGAAATTGGAAATGGAAATTGGATGCTATTCAGCCTGCTGCATCTTATACACCTATATCACCTATATTCTTGTTCTGGACATAGTTGCCTACATCCCTGCTTTTTTTCTTTGATATTTTTTAGACATACTATCGGTAACATTAAACTTTTTTTTGCTGCACCAATATTGCTTTTTTTATATTGAAGAAAAATTGAAATATATGAATAGTAAGCTCTGTACAGGATGACAGGAATAGATCCTGGATGGAAGATATACAGTCATGGCCGAAATTGTTGGCACCCTTGATATTTCTCCAGGAAATCATGTATTTCTCACGAAACGTATTGCATTAACACATGTTTTGCTATACACATGTTATTCCCTTTGTGTGTATTGGGACAAAACAAAAAAAGGGAGGAAAGAAAGCAAATTCGACATAATGTCACACAAACCTCCAAAAATGGGCTGGACAAAAGTATTGGCACCCTTTCACAACTGCGGATAAATAAGAATGTTACAAGCATGTGATGCTCCTGTAAACTCACCTGGGGCAAGTAACAGGTGTGGGCAATATAGAAATCACACCTGAAAGCAGATAAAAAGGAGAGACGTTCACTTAACCTTTGCATTGTGTGTCTGTCTGTGCCACACTAAGCATGGACAACAGAAAGAGGAGACGAGAACTGTCTGAGGACCTGAGAACCAAAATTGTGGCAAAATATCAACAATCTCAAGGTTACAAGTCCATCTCCAGAGAACTAGATTTGCCTTTGTCCACAGTGCGCAACATTATCAAGAAGTTTGCAACCCATGGCACTGTAGCTAATCTCCCTGGTCGTGGACGGATGAGGAAAATTGATGAAAGATTGCAACGCAGAATAGTCCGGATGGTGGATAAGCAGCCCCAAACATGTTCCAAAGACATTCAAGCTGTCCTGCAGGCTCAGGGAGCATCAGTGTCAGCGCGAACTATCCGTCGACATTTAAATGAAATGAAAC